ATAAATTATTTTTCTAAGTAAATGGTTTATACCCTTATAAGATGGCAGGTTTTATTTTGTTTTTTTTAAACCAAATAGTACTTTCTTTTTTTTTTTAAGATTTTGTTTATTTATTTATTTATTTGAGAGAGAGAGAGAGAGTGCACAAGCGGAGAGGAGAGGGAGAAGCAGGCTCCCTGCTGAGCTGGGAGCCGGACGTGGGGCTTGATCTAGGGATCATGACCTGAGCCGAAGGCATATGCCTAACCAGCTGAGCCACCCAGGCGCCCCTGTTCTCCCAAGTTTAAATGCCATTTGTTCTTTCTCTGTGAACTGTTCATGCCTTCTGTCCGCTTCTTTTTAAAGTTATTTATTTTAGAGAGAGCACAAGTGAGCATGGGGGGAGGCCCAGAGGGAGAGGGAGAGTCCTCAAGCAGACTCCTTGCTGAGCATGGAGCCCAACGTAGGACTCAATCTCATGACCCCAAGATCATGACCTGAGCCACCATCACGAGTTGGACACTCAACCGACTGAGCCACCCAGGCACTTCTGTCCCCTTTTCTTTCTTTCTTTTTTTTTTTTTAAAGATTTTATTTATTTGACAGAGAGAGACACAGCGAGAGAGGGAACACAAGCAGGGGGAGTGGGAGAGGGAGAAGCAGGCTCCCCACAGAGCAAGGAGCCTGATGTGGGACTCGATCCCAGGATCGTGGGATCATGACCTGAGCTGAAGGCAGTCGCTTAACCGACTGAGCCACCCAGGCGCCCTTCTGTCCCCTTTTCTATTCAGTGGTTGGTTGGTTGGTTTTGGAAAAACTCTTTATATCCCAAAGAAATCTGCTTTTGTGATATTTGTTGCAACTGTCTGCCTCTGCTTTCCTGTAGTCTTGTCACCACCATCTCTACGAGCAGTGTCACCTCTTGTTTCACTTTTCTGTCTCTGTGTTTCACTGCTGCCTTTCTTCAGCAGCTTCTCTTCCCTTATTAGAACTTCCTGTAAGACAAGCGAATTCACTGAGCTCCTGAACTCTTTGTATTGGCCGCTGGAGATCTCTTTTTGTTTCTCAGTGGTATTTTTTACTTACTCCTGACTTCATATACTTGGAACCATGTATCCTTTTCACATTTACGTGAAGTGTTTGTTAGGGGCTTGTTAAGGCAAAAGCCTAGAAAGATACATGGGGCTTGTTAAGGCAAAAGCCTAGAAAGATACATGCTTGTCAGCCTGAGAAAGGTTTGAACTCCAACCCTTACTCTACAGTGAGCTCTGGTATTGTTTTAGTACATTATTATTATTATTATTGAGAGAGAGAGAGAGCACAAATGCATGAGTGGGAGGGGGGTTGAGGAGTAGAGGGAGAGAGAGGATCCTAAGCAGGCTCCACGCCCAGCTCGGAGCCTGACGCGGGGCTTGATCTCATGACCTGAGCCAAAACACAGAGTTGGATGCTTAACTGACTGAGCCACCCAATCGTCCTAGTTTTTTGATTCAGATTTGGTTTAACATTTTTTACTCTCAGTGGCCTTTAACCTTGGCCTAGTCGTTTGACCCCCCTCATCAGTAAAATGGGGGATACCTACATATCAGGTTGTTGTAGAGATTCATTGAGGCTGGAAATATTTAGAGGCAATGAGAGGAGTAGAGTAGAGTCCTTAACTTTTCCTCTCACCCTCAAGTCCCTGCATTTCCTAGATTGAGGCTTTCCATCCCTGAGGTGCTGCCGTGGCTCTGGGTTTCCCAGGGCGAAAAGAGCCCTGCCTACTTGGTCACATTCTGCACCATCTTAAAATGTTCTCTGAGCATGGCGTCAGTTTTGTCAACGGTAAAAAAAGGAACACAGCTGTTGGATGTGGGTGCCAGTGGTGCCGACTGCATAGGGTGGTTGGGGCTTCGTGGGATAGCCTGGGGCCCAGTGCCCAGTGCGTGGCGAGGACCCGTCAGCTCTGGGAAAGGAGGTGAAGTCACGGCCCTTCCTCTTGTCTTGCAGAAGCCCCGTCCTGCATGTCTCTCGGCAGCACGTCCCTGAGCGCCCCTTCCATCCACTGCCCCTCCGCTGCAGTCTGCATCGGCATCCTCCCGGGCTTGGGCGCCTACTCCGGGAGCAGCGACTCCGAGTCCAGCTCTGACAGCGAAGGCACGATCAACGCCACCGGCAAGATCGTCTCCTCCATCTTCCGAACCAACACGTTCCTTGAGGCTCCGTAGCTCCTGTGTCCCCCCCTCCTCTCCGCCCCGACCCCGCCAGAGCTCCTGCCCAAGAGTAGGCTGGACGGTTTGTTCCAACTCCGGGCACCACCTCCCCCAGAACTCCTTTGCCCGCTTCCTGTGCACACCGTGACATTCTTAACCTCATCTAAAAATGTGCCAGAATTCACTTGTGGCCCAACTTGTGTTTGGTTTCTCTTTCCACTCCAGTGCAGATGTCCAACCCTGTCCTGCTGCCTCTTTCCTCGCTGCCGTGGTGGGGAGGGGGCTGCGGCTCCACGGAGATTCCCCTGAAAATGCCCTGGGAAGATAGGCACCCGCTGGGGTGCAGTGTTTGGATGCCGTTGCTTTCTTGTTTTCTTCTTTGTTTCCTTTCCTGACAGCACAGGAAGCAAGGGCAGTTATGGGACAGGTATCATTTAAACCTCTCTTCCAGCAGAACACACCATGTGGTTGTACTGCGTGGTGGCTCATGTTGGGGGGCTGGGGGGAGGAGGGCCCCAGGTGATGGACTGCTGCACTCCCTTGGAACTAACCGATTCTTGATGTTGTGTGACTAAGTAAAGATTATAAACTACATCTGCTGGGGGTGTCACTTAGCGCTCATCACTCATTGTGGAGTTTTTCCGTATTCCTCCTTCCTTCTTCTCCTTCTCCCTCCGTCCAACGCCATTTAAGACCCTAAATCTTAGAGAAACGAACATGGGCCTTATTTCATCATGGCCAGAAAGCAGAAGTGCAGGTAGGTATGTAGACGAGATGACTTATTTCTAGCAGCTTCTGGAATTCTGAGTGCCAACCAGTGGGACACACCTGCATATTCTGACTCGACTCTGTGCTCTGTTGAGGCCCCTCTCTGTTCGGTATGCTTATAGTTGAGGCTTCTAAATGTGGAAGCTCTTTCTGGCCTAAAGGTGCTGCCCTGTCCATGCCTCCCCTCTGCTCCTCTCCCTTCCTGCACAGGGCAGCTTCAAGACTGTGAGCAGCCAAGACCTCTGTCTCCTAAAGGGAGGCTCTCCCTCTAGGACGGAGAGAGATGAGGTTAGAGGGAGGCATGGGCTTGAAAAACAAAAACAAAAAAATCTGTAGGCTCCCCTGCTCCAGGAGAATGAGTCTGTACAGTTCTCTCTTCCCCTGGGTTCCTACGTCAATTGTTTCTACTTCTTTGGGTGTGAGACGTAGAGAGACACACACAGAATGTGTTGACACTGTGATGCTGGCAGGCAGAGCAGCTACTCATTTTAATGTGGGCAGAGAGGCCCCTGGTTCTCCTCCAACCCACTGCTTTTCCCCTTCCAATACAGTGACACTCGTGCCTGTTAGCAGATGGTGACTTCCCTTCACCCATAAGTGATGCCTTGTGAATCCTTCCTCCTTTTCAGGACCGCTCCGTGCTAATTGTTCCTGACTGTCAGCACAGGCGCTCGGCTCCATCCTAACAGACAAGACATTTAGGTAAAACTGTGTAGGCACCTTCTGCTTCTCTGCTCCATTGTTCCTGCGATTGAGCTGTCGTCCTTGCAGCACGCACACTGTTTCGGGAGGCAGACCAAGGATTCAGGGGCACCATCTCTTTGTGGTTTGACTTTTTTTTTTTTTAAAGATTTTACTTATTTGTGAAAGAGCGCACGAGTGGGGGGGAGGGGCAGAGGGAGAGGGAGAAGCAGGTTCCCCACTGAGCCAGGAGCCCAACAAGGGGCTCAATCCCAGGACTCTGGGATCATGACCTGAGCCGAAGGCAGACGCTTAACCATCTGAGCCACCCAGGCGCCCCTGTGGTTTGACTTTTAAGAAGCCATTACTATACCTCATGGCCTCTGTTGTTGGGAGAAGGGGACAAAAGGTTGTAGGGATTAAAACTGTACATTAACTTGAAAGCTAATGCACCTGACCGAGAACAAGATCTTGCTTTTTCTGTACCGGATCTTGCACTCCCAACTCCCTCTCCATCTACTATAAGCTAGATTGCGTTGAGAAAGTTGAGGCTCCTCACATGGAGATTTCTGGTCTGTGGTATCACAGGGGAGGCTGGGAGTCAGTGGTGATCATCTCATCGTGTTCATTGTACCTGTTGGTGTAGAGTCCTGGAATGGAGACACATGTCCCGTAGAACCATGACTAGCAGAGCAGGACCTGGTCTCCCCGGTAGAGGAAGCAGGCTTGAAAAGCATCCAGTGTAGACAGTGTGGTTCCAACCCAAAGAAGGATAGAAAAAACAGGGACTGCTTTAATCCATAAAGTGCAGCCATCAGGCCTGAATAAATAATTGGGGCTTATAACTAGGTAATAAGGGCTAAAGACAAAGTGTGTGGTGGGGTTTCTTTAAACCTGCTTACATTGTCTTGAGTGGTAGTATTCTTACAACTCTTGAACCAGGCAAGGGAGAAAGCCTGTTTGCCAGTTCTCTCTGGATTATCTAGCCTGTGTCATACCACGCCCTCTCAACCACTTCTAACTTTGGACCCTGTTACCCGCTTGGGTGGGGAGAAAGTGTGAAATTCAAAGCATCCATTTTTCCATCTATAAAAAGCAGGGGAGCTGATGTGACTGGACCCAGAGACGATCTGGCGATCCTACATATGCCTTCCCTGGTCTCAGGACCCAGAAGGAGAGAAGAGCTGGCTTTAGGTGCATCTTAGACTGGAAGTTGGGCCCCTAACTAGGGGTGACCTGGGCCAGCTCTTTGCATCCTTGTTCCTTCCACTCTCCACCTGGAGTTCTTCCCTTCTGGCTACCTCCTTTCTACCCAGGACAAGCCGCTTTTGCCTCAGACTTCCGCCCATTGCTTCTGCTTCTCCCTGGGAACTAGTTCCCCCTTCCCTGGATATGCTGCGGTGGTTATGAGCTTAGAGCTAGACATTTACTAGCTGGGTCAGTGGGGCAAGGTCCTTAACCTCTCGGGGCTTCAGTTTCATCCTTGGTAAATAGAAATAATGATACCAACTTTCTAGTGAGGGTGAAAGCTAGTCTGGATTAGGTACTTGGTGTGGGATCTGGTACAGAGTGTTCAGTGAATGGTAGCCATCCTCAATAGCCCTGATACTGCTGGCCTCCCCTGTTTCTGGGTAGGGTGTCCAGAGCTTCTGTTAGTGGTGATGTATGGCAGGTCTTCCCATCCTACTGGCATTCCTCAGTTGCAGCTAGAACATCGACACGATGAAGGGTCTGATCTGGTCGTCAGAGCTCCAACCACCAGCTTCTGCTGTATGCTTCCCTCTCAGCTAAATGTTAATTGCTTAGGCACACCCGGTTCCTTGGCGCGGGTGTCCTACTCGTGGGTATATGGCTCAGCTGTTGTCTTAAGCCCCTTCCAGAAAAACAAAAAGGAGAGCCTAATGGCAGTGCACCATCATTTGGACTTGAGTGTTGTCTTGATTTTCCCAGCCTACTTACGCATAACGGTATGGAATGTAGGTTCTGCTTGGTGGGAGGCTAGAATCTGGGCAACATCCTTGTAGTCACAGGGTGAACACAAGCCAGTTTGCACATTCGTGCCTTAGTGATGCTGGCAAGGGCTGACATTTTGCTCCCTTACCTGCTGGTGCTATGGTTTAAGGAGAATGGGAGTGTCACAGCAGTGACAGGCAGAATGTGGTCCAGCCTCACAGCTTTGTAGAGGAGAAGGGCAGCAAACCCCAGAGACAGCCACCACTCTGAGCTGTTGGCGGGGCTTCACCCTTGCTATTTCAGTAACAGGCACATCATTATGCCTTACGTGGATTTGTTTCACTCATTCAATACTGAGGCCTGCTATGTGTGTGCCAGGCACTGTTTGGGACATTTGTTTGTTTTTTAAGATTTTATTTATTTGAGAGAGCACACAAGCAGGGGAGGGGTAGAGGGGCAGAGGGACAAGCAGATTCCCCGCTGAGTAGGGAGCCTGACTCGGGGCTCGATCCCAGAACCCCGAGATCATGACCTGAGCCGAAGGCAGCCACTTAACTGAGCCACCCACGTGCCCCGGTTTGGGACATTTGTGGACCATTTTTGTGGCCTGTAGTGTCTTTCATCCTAAAAAAAAGTCCTGTGAAGCAGCCCTTCTCTACATTTGATAGAGAAAATTGAAATTCATAGTGGTTCAGTGACTTGCGTGAGGTTGCACAGTTAGTTCACAGAACCAGAATTTTAATTTGAGCCTTTAACTCTTTAAGTCTGGTTTTCTGTGGTTTCAGTGAAATTTTTAAACAAATGCTAGTGCCCAGGCGTCTGCAGCAGTGATGGAAGGGTGAAGGGATATTTCCGATTTCCAAGGTCACTTTTAGCTTGCTTTCCATGTACCAAGAACCAAGTATCAGCATCACCAAGGCTCTGTTTTTATTGAGATATTATTGATACTAGTTTCAGGTAACAATTCAATATTGTAAGTATTGCAGAATGGTCCATCCATTTTTCTTGTGATGAGAGCTTTTAAGATCTACGCTCTTGGCAGGTTTCTGATACACAATAATACAGTATTAACTATAGTCACCAGGCTGTATATTACATCCCCAGGACTTATTTTGGCTTTGTTTTTTTTTTTTAAGTGGTGATTTGGCCTGGTCAGGAGTTTGGGTGCATTCCTTTCCCCTGTGAACTTGAGCCAGCTGGGAGAGGGCTTGCTTGACTGATCCACTCAACCTGGGCAGAGAAGGGGGAAGAAAGCAGAGATGTCGGGGTCTGCTCCCATGAAGCTTGGAGGTGAGGGCCGTGGCCACCACACCTGAGGTAGGTGGTCCGTAAGAGTTTGAGCATTTGGGATGGACATCAGCATAAGGCAGGGACTCGACCATAACATGGCCCAATAGATGTCTATCTTCCTGGTTTTACCAGTCTGGTAAATTCCTCCTGGGGGCAGGGTATAAGGGAGAAGTCTGCATGAGAAGATACACCTGTCCCCTGAGGGCTAAGAAGGGGATGTGGGGCTGGGAGGAGAAGGCTGCTCCCCTTTAGAGACTTCTGGTCAATCATAGCTTGACAGATTAGGGGGTATGGCTCAGGACTAAAGCATTTGACTGCAGAACTTGACAGATTATTCCAGGCTTGGATGGGTACAAACTTCCCTGGATGTGACATCCAGCTGGACTCACTTCAGCTGCTGAACAGGTGGGCAAACGAGCAGACTTGTGCTGTTGTTCTAACTCCCAGTCTTACAGCTGGCCCAAGCAAGGGTTAGGCACGAACCGAAGGAGCCAAGACGCACTGGCCCTGGGTCCATCCATGTTGCCAGCTGGCCCCATGGGCCACTGTGCTGTGATTGCCCAGAGGTCCTTGGGGAAATGGGGCGCCATGCAGTCCTGCAGCCCACTCAGAAGTGAAGGAGTCCCGAAAGGATATTTCAACTCACTTTTGGTGGCTGCAGAACCATCAGGGCATTGGAAGCTGAGGATAAAGATCTCAGATCCTCACACTGTCAGCAGGTAGATGGGGGTCCTTGAGGCTACCAGGCACCTGGAGTTGGGAACCTCCCTGGTAGTGCCCAGCTCTAGAGGGCCCCAGTGACAATGACTGACCTGGGAGAGTGGGTCAGGATAATAGATCTCCCAGATTGAGTGCAGAGAAAGGATAAATTCATTAGCAACTTGAGCAGACTCCTTTGCAGAGTCAGAGGAAGATGCTGTGTAGTAAGCACGGGCTCTGGAATCGGGCAGATCCGGATGTAAGTTCTGGCTCTGCCTCTGCGACATTTGATTAGCTTCTCTGCTCGTTTCCTCATCTCTGAAATGGTCATAGGCATAGGCTCTAGACTATTGGAAGGTTCATCAAGATTATGCCTGCAAAGCTCTTAATGCGGAGCCAGACCAGCGCTTAGTAGAAATGTTATTGGTTGCACAGAAGCCTGGGGCACAGGGGTGACAGAAACTCCAACGGGGAGGTAGATAAGACAAAAGGATGTGTTATGTGGAAGAAAGGGGAGAACTGGGAGGACCCCGAGAGTGGGCCCCTGGCTGGCTTCATGAAGTGGGGCCTAGAAACGAACAGCAGCTGTCAGCTTAGCATCATGCGGGCAAAGAGGCTGTCCCGCACTGTAGACCACAGGGCGTACCCAGAGGCCCGGGAGGCCCGAAAGAGGAGCAGATAGGTGGCTGCGACGGCCACCTTGCGTGTGTGTCTGGGTGCGCGTGCGTGCGCGCATGCAGGGCAGTGTGTAGATTGAGGAGGGCGGGTACCACGTGGTAGTGGCTGGGCCTGGGGATCCCGGGACTGGTGTAGGCTCCGCAGGGGCTACGGTTGCTGGTGGGGGCCCGGGGCATTTTATCTATCCGCAGATACGTATTGAGCCTGTGCTCTGTGCCAAGTCCTGTTGCCAGTTTGAGTACTGTGTGCATGGAACGCGTGCCCCACCTTGCTGGGGGAAAGAGCTTTTTATGTTTCCTTCCCCAGATCACTGAGCCCATCAGGTCCCAGCTGAGGGAGGCGCTGACACAGGGACATTGGAAACTCCTTTATTACCCTGAGTATAACAACTAGAACACAGTCACAGTATAAAAAAACAGCAGGAAGTAAGTGCAGGCAATGACACAAAGTATGCACTGGGGACACGCTCCTTTCAGGGTCTGCAGCTAGTTATTTGGAAGAAGCCAGTTAGGATTGTAAAAATTTTCTCTTTAATAACAATTTCACTAAAATTATACAAAGTACATTCAATACTTAAGGGGAGGGAGGAAGCCAGTTTGGCCCGGAAGTATCATCTGTTGACTCCAACAAAGGAAGCCCAGCTGAGCTGGGGGAAGGTGGGGGGGTGGAGGTCTGGTTGTAGAAAATAAAAACGTGGATGGGTTAAAAACAAGGCCCCGCCCCCCCCGCCCCACCAGGAAGCAGGGTGAGCGTGCACGTTCCTGGGAGGGCGGGAGGCCCAGCCGGCATGCTGCTGCTGGGCCTGGGCTGGTGCTCAGGCAGGCTCCGAGTGGGTGGGGGGCAGGTTTTTATGCTTGAAATACTGCACGACTTGTTGGGGCAGTTCTGCCAACACAGCTTTGGCCAAGGTCTCTTTCGCTGCCTGTGGGGCCAAGGGGGAGGTGGAGAGGAGAGATAGGAAGGGTCAGTGGAAGACCATGGTGAGGGGGCTCCATGCCCAGACTGCTTTAAGAGACGGTGTCCCTGGAGGACAGAATCAGGGCCAGGGCTGTCTAGAACTCGAGTCCCTTGTCCCAGCCAGGGTCTGAAACCCCACTGCTAGCACTGCTCTTCCTTTACCTGAAGTCTCTTTCCTTGAGCACTTGAGATGCCCGGGGATCACATTTTAAGATGAATGTGTCTGTGGGAGGCTTTTCAGGGAAAGAGACAGTGGAGGCGAGCTGCACAGCCTACTCACCTGACAGACATTTCCTGAGCACCTTCTTGGCCCATATAAATGGGCCAGGACTGTCTGGCTCACTGCTGAATGCTCAGCCACAGGCCAGCCATGGGGAGGTGCTCAGTCAGTGTCCTGTGCATGAATGGGGGGCCGAGGCCCAGCATATGTCCTCAGGAAACTAAGGCTCCAGAGGAAGGAGTTGGACCACCTCAGGCAAACCCAGAGGGCACTGGGTAGAGGTGTGAGCACCACTGGGTATAAAACAGTGGTAAGTTCTTGCTAGGACTGGCTTGTAGGATCTGCACCACAGAACCCCAAGAGTCCCTATGGCTGAGGGCACCAAGGTCTGGAGAGGTCAGGGACTTGCCCAAGGCCACACAGTAAGCATCTAGTTAAATAAGAGTTGGGCTCCCAGGTGATGGGACAGGGGTGGCATCTGAGACTGCTCCCCCTGGGATCCTGGTGGGTCCAGCTGCTAGTGCAGTGACCTTGTGGGCAGACCTGGGGTCACCTGCAGATAGGCCCAGAGCCACCTCCAGGAACAAGGTGGGGCCACCAGTCCCCGTGCAGGGCAGGCCATCCTAAGATGTGCCTCGTTTTCTATCTGAAGTAGGCTGGTTGAGGTGTGACTACCCCCAAAAGCCTCTCTCACCCCTGGGCCTTTGCTCTCAGCCCCCTATCTGCCTGGAATGCTTTGCCCCACCTGGATAACTCCAACTTCTGGTTCAGGACCTTGGTCGGAGGGCAGGGCCTCCCTGAAACCCTGCGCTGGAGCCCCAGTGTGGGTTGGGCACCGCTCCCTAGGTTCCATGAGCTTGCTGAAGCCGGTGCTCACATGGTCGTAGGGGCTCGTGTGGGGGTGGGCCCTCGGGCAGCACACAATAGAGCGGAGGGCAGAGGAGCCCAAGACAGTCATCCTTATTAACTCTGGTTGCTGGGGTCCCCTAAGCACCCCCTCCCCAGCCTGGGCCCATACTCACGTTGCGGAACTCTCGGAAGGGCACGAACTGCACGATGTCACGGGCCGCCTCCTCCCCGGTGTGCGAGCGCAGCGTGCGGCTGTCCCCGTCCAGGAACTCCATGGCGGCGAAGTCAGCGTTGCCCACGCCCACGATGATGATGGACATGGGCAGCTTGGAAGCCTGCACCACGGCGTGGCGCGTCTCCTCCATGTCACTGATGACGCCGTCCGTGATGATGAGGAGGATGAAGTACTGCTGCAGGGAAGAGGCAGCCAGGTGCTCTGAAGTCTCTGGCCCCCCTTCCCCGGCCTCCCAAAACCTTCTGACCCCTGGGAGGACAGCTCTTCATGCCCAGCTGCCGCCAAATCCCAGCCCCAGCCCGCAGCACCCCACCCCTGCAGGCCTCTGGCCATCCAAACCCTGACCTGGTCCCAGCCCGAGGCACAAACTGCCCTCTTCCCCCTGCCCTGGCTGTGACCTTAGACACCGCAGCTCAGTGCCAGGGCCCCGAACTCCAGGCCTGGACCTCCGGTTGCTCTGCTGTGGGGCTCGGGGCAGCTGGCTGACGTTGCCGCGCCTCCGCTTCGTCATCTGCACGGTGGCAGTTGCTGTACCACAGCGGAGCTCTGTGCCCGAGAACTGCATTCCTGGCGGACAGGCCCATGGCCGGGGAGGGAGGCGCATCCTGGCCGACCCGGCCCAGCCTCGCCTTCTCCGGCCCAGCCTCGCCTTCTCCGCCCCGCACAGATCCCTGCAAGCTGCTCCTTCCCCAGCTGCAGGGCTGGCCTCTGAGACAGGCTGCCTGGCACACAGGCCGGTGCTTCTGGGCACACAGCCTCAAGGCACAGGGTTACTTCTGCAGCGGTCTTTCACTTCCGCGGACGGTACCCAGGAGGGAGTCTCGGGTCGGTTCTAGTGGGCCTTTAACGCCTCTCATGTGCTCACCTTCCTTATTAACAGAGGCGGGAAGCGCAGAGCTTCAGGGGACAACAGTTTCTAGCTAGACTTCAATACCAGGTACAATTTATTTTTCCCGTTACTCTCTATATATGGCAAGCGGTAACTTTTCACTTACGGTGGGCTATACAGTTTCCTTATAAAATTACTTAAAAATACTGATTAGCATGGGCATGTATGGCCATAGCATGGACTGTGAACGGGACATGGTGGGCACATGAGGTTCAGGAAGGCTCCCTAGATGGCCTGGGCAGAGGCCCCAGAATACCAAGCCAGCTGACACCTTAGTGTCAGCTCTGTCCTTAGCACCCTCTGGCCCCTTTTTAAGGAACCTGGTTTGCCCCATCTGTAAAATAAACAGAAAAGCCCTATATGGCCCTAATATTCTTTGAGGCTTTTGCCTTCTCGTCTGATCCTTCTGGTTCTCAGGAGAGGAAAAAGGGGGCCAGACTAGTCCAGGTCATAGAGGGCAGAACTGAGCCAGACCCCAGGTCAGCACCTGGCCACCTCACCCAGCAAAACCATTTGCTCACTGGGAACCATACAGAGGCTACAAGTTCAGCCCCCTAGGATGCCCTACTCTCCTGCTTGTCGCCCACGCACAGCCCTGGAAGGAGCGGGTGAGCTGCTCGGAGGTGTAGACCCACCATCCTAACCCACCTCCTGCACTGTGCCTTTAAGAGACTGAGCCCTTGGTGCTGGGGATACCTGTTGCTATGGAGATGGCAGCCTGGATCCCTGCAGTGGAGGGCAGCAGCTGCCAGCCCCCCATGCCTGTGGTTGGAGGGCCTTATAAGCCCATCTACACCCTTGTCCCCCCACAGCCCACCGTCATTCCAGCACCCCTTTTGTAAATGGCCCTCTAACCCCACTCCCCTCCCGCCAGAAATAGTCCAGGGCAAGATTTCCGGGGCACCTAAGCTCGCAGGACGGAAGGCACGGAAGGTCCTGGTGAGGAGGAGGGAGAATGCCTGGCCTCAATCGACAGGTTCACCACTCAGGGCGGGACTGGCGTCCCACCCTACCCCCATGCGGCCCTCAGCTTTCTCCTCTCACTCAGCCGCACGTCTATACCAGGAGATTGGAGCCTCAGGCCTGGGCCTCCCCCAGGCCTTGGATCCTCCTTCCCAGGGAGGCGGGCACAGCCTGGGGCTGGGTTCCCGCAAGACCATGGGCACCACCTGACAGGGTGAGAAAGTCCCTGCTCATGCACCACAGTGCACAGACCCTGCCATCCTCACGCTGGGATTCTGTTTTAGAGATGAGGAAAGGGCTTAGAAGGGGGTTCAGCGACTGCTGGGAACTGGCACAGTCTAGATCCATACACAAGCCTGGCTGACTCCAGAGCTGGGGCTCTTTCCACAGCGTCCCCCTCTGCCACCCCTGTCCCTCCCGTTTTGGTGGCCCGGCCTCTCCAGTAATGGGCCCCGGCAGGAGGAGCTTTCCGCACCCTCTCACCCCACTGTCTAGACTGTCAGATGGTCTCAGTGTCTAGGCCAGCAGCCCAGGGAAGAGCCAGAGCCATGGCACTGGACATGAACCCTCCTGTGCGTGCCAGCCAGCCAGCCATAATATCCACAGCCATGGGCCTGATCTCAGCTTCTGCCCAGCCGGGCCAGCCTTGGCAAGGGACCTGCAGCTAACATGTCCTGTGCTTCTCACCCACCCCAGGCGGAGCCTCTACATTCCACTACAACCCCAAGGCTCTACAGCCCCACCCCCAAGACAGAAATGGGAGGGGCTGTAGACGAGGAGAATGAAGGGCAGAACCGGGCAGGAGGAGGTGGGAAAGGGTGCTGCTGTCCCCACAGACAACCCTGGTCTCCCCTACCCCCAAACTTTCCCACCTCCACGCCCTTCCTGGTACCCTTCCTCCTGCCTGGCATACCCTTCCAGCCACAGTTCCAAGACCCATTGGAGTGTCTGCGCCTCCATCCCAAGCCGGTGGAAGGCCCTCCACAGCCCGGAGCTCCACTTCCCCTGCCGGCATTACCCCTTGCGGGGGGCGGGGGGTGTCTCCTCTGGAGATTCCTCTCCCCCACCTGACACCCCGAGTGCTCCTCCAGGCAGCCCTTTGCAACCCTCTTCAGCATCTCCCAGCTCTGGCACCCCGTCCCTGCCCCAGAACCACAGTCAATCACCGTCAGGTCCAACCAAAAATCAAAGCACCCAACACCATTCAAGGATGGAGTAGCTTTTGCCTTTACCCAGAGGTTCTTCAGGCTTCTGGGACTGTAAATAGCCACTTCCCCTAAAGCGTTTAACATACCAGATTTATAAGAAACCGACCACAATAATTCCAGTCAGAGTCTGGGGGAGCTGCTCCCTGGCTTATTTCTGGAAGTTGGCTGCCAAAGACCCTTGGGGTGGGGGGAAATTCCAGGGCCCTGTGTCCCAGCTCCCCCTCCACTAGGACACCAGATACCTAGGTAGCCAAGCAGGAATGGGCCATGGACAGCGAGACCCAGGGCTTATGGGCAGAGAGAAGGATGGGAGCCCCATAATGGGGATCGTCTAGCCCTTTCTGAACCTCTTAATACCCTCAGTGGCTCCCCATGGCCCTCAAGAAAATCCAGGGTCCTCATTGCCTTCCAAGGCCCTGTGGTAGCTGGCTCTCTCCTACTCCCAACTCACTCCTCTCACATCAAGACTTCTTCCTTCAGTTAGGTCCAAACACCCTGCCTCCTGGGCTTTGCATATGCTGTTCCCTCTGCCTGGGGCACTCCACACCCATGCACACACATGACTTTTACGTGGCTAACTCTTAAGCATCCTCCATGTCTCAGCCTGGACATCACTTTTCCAAGAAGGCTTCCCTGAGCCCTCTGGGTTAGGTGCCACCTTTAGGAGGCTGGGCCTTTGTCAGCACAGGTTTAATCAGTGCATCACAGCTGCTGTTTCCCCAGCCAGGTTCCCCACTAGACTGCAGGCTCCGGGAGGGCAGAGGCCGCGCATCATGGTCTCCCTAGTGCCGCACAGAAATATGCTCCGGAAAGATGGGTTGTGTGTGTGAATGGGAGAGTGCAGGCCTGCCTAGAGCAATGCCTCCTACCATCTGCTCTCGAGTTCCTGTACGTGGGTGTGCACGCGTGTGCATATGTCTAGGGCCAGGGAAGGTGAAACCACACTGAGTATTGCCTCCCCCCGCAAAGCGGCTGTATAAAAGTAGCGCTTAATCCACAATTTATTTCCCTTTGCCTTGGGTCTAACTGTGCTCAGGGGCATCCCCAGAAGTGCTTACTGTGTGCCAGGCACCGTGCTGAGCAATTCATGTGCCAATCTGGTTGAATCCTCAGTGTTTCTAGCAGGCAGCCACTGTTCAGCACCTCCACGGTACAGGAGAGGAAACAGGTTCAGAGAGCTTCAAGCAAGCTGCCCTGGGTCACACAGCCAGGCAATGGAGAAGCTGGGGTCTGAATGGGGTCGATGGGCCTCGGGAGTTCGAGGCTGAGCCATCAGGCAGCACCACCTCTGGTGCACGGTGAGCTGCAGGCTAGAGCCAGGCCGGAGGTGGAGAAGCGGATCTGTTTGGACATCAGGGTGAGAGGGGCTGATAGAGACTCTCCGGTCCCACTCCTGCTGGGGGATGGCCCAAGTCACAGGGATGGGGGCACTGCATCCTGGAAGGTGAGGATGCCCAGAGAAGGCTGCCTCCCCAGGTTGGAAGGACCGGGTCATGACCAAAGTGGCTGGGGTGTTGAGAGGATCAGGACTGGGCAGAGAAAGGGCCAAGTTTCCCGCTCCAGGGAGCCCTCAGCATTTGTTCCCCAGAACACCAAGATCCCCTTCCTGGCCTGCCCCAGGGCCCCAGGCCCCTTTCTGCCCGGAGCACACCTCCTGCGCTGTCCCACCCTGGCTCCGCCTGGCAAGAACACGGGCCTCGTTCCTGCTACCACACCCGTTCTTCCTGTTCAACAAGGATGCGTGCCGTTTCTGCCATCCGTTTCATAACTGGCTCAGGCCGCTAACAGATGGGGCGGGACAACGGCCTGGCTGACCACAGGCATCCAAGTGGTGCAAGCCCAGGGCCTGCCTCGCCAACCAATTCCAGCCCTGTGCCCCCAGGAATTAAAAACCAGCCCCTCCCAGGCCTTGCCTTGGTCGCTGTCCCATTCAGGTGGCCCCAGATCCTCCCAGCACCCCGGGGAGGGGGCCCTTCCTTCACCCCTTTCATACAGGAAATGGGCTCAGAGCAGGAGGGGGCCTGTCTCAGGCCCTCAGCGGCAGGCGCAGCTGGCACTACAGCAGACCCTGCTCCCGGAGGCAGAAGACACCCGGACCGCCTTCCTTCTCCCCCAGCCCTTGCGCCATGACCTCCTTCCTGCCGGCCCTGGCCTCTGCAGTCTGCTCTGCCTGTCCTTCCTCATCCCCCAGGTCTCTCTGGGGGCAGGTGCTGTGTGATCTTGCTTAATCTGAACACCACCTAGTAGGTCTTATTAGTTTCCCATCGTACAGACAGCGACTCGGAGGCTCAGGGAGGTTCCGTGCTTTGCCCAAGCCACAGGGAGGAAGGGGTGGAGCCCGGATTCAGACTCTGGCAGCCTGACTGGAGAGCCCCCTTCCACCTCCCAAACAACCAGACTGGGTCCTGCTGTCCTGCCCTCCCCAGGGCGACCCTGGTGTCCTCTTCTCTCGCTTAACCTCTACAGCCTCCATCTTTGCTGCCACGCCCAGAAGCCAACCTCTGCCTCCCTAGGAATCAGGGAGGGGTCTCGCTCCTCTGGTGGGCCCAATGGGACCAGGTCCTTTTCCCTCTGGGAGGGGCGCTGGCGGGCGTCCCCGCCCCCTGCCTCCCGAGCCTCGCACAGCACTCCCATGGCGGGGCCCACAGATTCATCCACCCCCGGGCGGGGTGAGTGCCTGCCATGGGCCGGATGGTGGCAAACACGCAACAGCCTGGCCAGTGGGGCTGGCAGTCGGGGGGCGGGGGACACACCATGGATGAGGAGACATGGAGAAGGTAAACTAGATGCTGCTGCCATCCTCAGAGTCCAGATGAGAATCAACAGAGAAGGCGGGAGATCAGCCTCAGAGGGGTGGTCAAAGAAGGCCATGGCGGGGGGGGTGGCATCTGAGGGGACACCGAGGAATGGGTAGAACCAGCCAGGCAGAGAGTCAGCAGGGCAGAGGGTCTGCGAGGGGTACAAGCTTGTGTGTTTGAGGGACCGGAAGAGGGTAAGATCAGAAGGGAAGGCAGGCATGGGGGGTAGGAGAGGAGGTCTCTGGAAGCGAATGGCTAGGGAGTGGCAGGCTCCGACAGGACCCCTGCAGGAGAATGGATTGTAGGGGCCAGAGACAGAAGCTGGTGGCCTTGGCGCTGGGAAGACAATCTGAGATACCATCTTGGAGGTAGAATGAAAAGGACAGTCTA